TATGGCGAACTGTCATCTGCTTTTGCAACCTCAAGTGGCGTCCGTCAAGGCTGTCCACTTTCTCCTTTTTTGTTTAACTTTATCATAGACATCCTGATGGAAATAACGCTCTCATCGACTGACTTCTCGGGTATTGATCTCCTACCAGGAGGTCCACTTATTGACTTAGAATACGCAGATGACATAGTTCTGTTTGGTGAAGACGCTGATGAAATGCCGAGTCTTTTGGTAGCACTGAGCAACAATGCTATATATTACCACCACTGAATTAACTACTCCTATGAATCCGGTGTTCATCTTGTTGTGCTAATGCGGTATGGCAACTTGGACCGATGCATATACGTGCCTGGTCCTACGTTGCAGCTGACTGACTGACTATGTGATAAGTAAAATAATAAATCCACTTATATGATGCTTACACAAAAACAGTCAAAGGTGATCAACAAAAAAGTCACAGGGTAACTTAAGAGGACCAAATAGATTGATCTGTCCAGAATCTAGAATAACCTATATAGGTTTAACATAGAAGTTGACATTACAAGTGTATATACTATATTTTTTTGAATTATAAATATACTAGAGGTTGGTTGCAGACATTTAGACTCAGGAATAGGGTAAAGCGAGAGACTAGCTAATCATGAATCAATATTATCTTACCTGTTGACTCATGGTTAATTGTACTGGTTGCCATGTCAGAAACGTTAAGCTATACAGTAAATAGTGGACGAAAAATAGACCAAATTCGAATCAGGATTCTGTGATTGGTGGCTTGTCATGTAATCGTTGTCAAAGGTCACAAGATATAATCTACGTGATATTATTGTCACCCTTATAATAGTACAAAAAAAACTCACCGTTTCTAACACATTTTCACACTGTATACATGAAAGAATATTCTTTCAAGCTTTTGTACATTATATACTTACTTTCTCCTGTTACTCCCAGTGAAGCATAGGCCATGCACAAACATTCCCCAACCCATACTGTCATGAGTCTTCCTTTCTAGCTCTATCCAATTTTTGTTCATACTTTTCACGTCTGTCTACATTTTTCGGCGTATTGTGTTCTTTGGTATTCCTCTTTTCCTTTGACCTTGAGGATTCCAAGTGAGTGCTTGCCTTGTGACACAGTTCGGTGCTTTCTTCGATGTGTGTCCTATCAACTTCCTCCTCTGGGATCTGATTGGTTCTCTCCCAGAGTAAGTTGTTGCTGATAGTGTCTGACCAACAGATGCGAAGTATTTTGTGTAGACAACTGTTAATAAACACTTGGATCTTCTGGATGATGACGTTCGTAGTTGTCCAGGTTTCTGCTCGATACAGTAGAACTGTCTTGACATTTGTATTGAAAATTCTGACCTTGTTGTTGAGCGACAAACAGTTTTTTTGAATTCTAGATGTTCTTCAGTTGTACATATGCTTCTCTTTCTTTGCCGATACGCGCCTTCACATCGGCTTTTGCATATAAATTAAGATAAATGACATTGCTTGCCGAATTTTCTGTGCAAGACAAAAAATAAGATATTCTCTTAATCCTGTCTAGTTTGACAGTAATGATAGGGTTTAGAATTATTCAGCATCATCATGGAATGTACAACTACCTATTCTTCTGGTTCAGTTTATTTCACATTAATGCTCAGCTTTGCGTAAAGTTGATGTCATACAATCAACATTGTACCATTAACTCAATGTAACAGAGTTCTAATAGTTAAGCTTTCTGAGAGTGTACAGTTATCATACAAAGAGTGACATCAATCTATGAAGTCATTGATCGCTTAACTCAGTCATATTGGTAAGTACACATTACCTTGTCGAGATCTATATGATTGTCGTGGCCACTAGTTAAAGACTCTTGACATGACTAAAAATCGATGACCATCCACATGCACCCACTTTTATTATTCTTATTCAACTCAGTCGTTTTAAATCTGCATTCATTACACTGATAGTTCCAAATGTTAAATTAAACTGGTTCACCAATTTCTTCAACAAAATAACTTACGATTCCTCTTGAGCACTAACGGGACGTTAGACTAACATCGACGAACAATGAACGATTTTGTTGCATATATGAATGATACTCTCTCTATTGCAGATACTTATCCAGAAACTAATCTATTACTTTTCAACAAAAATCAAGTCAGGTACACGAGATTCGTCTGACTAGCCCATATGGTAATCATTAATTAATTAGTTACTAAGGGTATAAAAAATCGGTTTGTTGCGTCTGTACAAATTGTGAATTGCAACTCGAACTACTGATTGTTATTTAGTAGTGTATAAGTAAATTACCAAAGCAGGTGAAGAACAGTTGATAGTAGGACAAAGAAAAACACAGGTAACTTAAGTAATGAACCGACAAAATCCTAAACAAATTCAGCTTTCATCAATACCATAGTGCGGAATTAGAGTAACGCCTCTATATTTATTTTTTTCCACCCACCTTCCGTTGATAAAAAAGCATAATGTGGAAGATGGCTGTGGTGTTCCATCTAGATTCGTCGGTAGACCCTTCTAGAATGGACTCCATGTTTTCAAGGCTCACAAACCGACCGTCCGGATGTGATTTTGTGGATGGCAGTGGCCCCGAAGGTCTTAGTGTGTGTGTAGGCATAGTGAAAAGAACAGTAGGTGCAGTCTACATGCAAACTAGTTAACACACGGACTTTCATCTGGGTATTTCTTGGTATACATGTAGGTATAACGACCTTGTGAGTAAATATATGTTACATGCATACTGGTAACACACAGGTTTTTCTCATGCATCTCATAGCATGCATAAACGTATATTCACTTCCTTGAGAACGTAAATGTTCACCACTCCCTTAGAAACATATTTGCCACAACAGAATATCCTACACATTACATGCAAATCATTCAATCAATGACTACTACCACAGTACTTCCTGACATACACATGATCATTCTCTCATAAGAGGTTGTTGGTTGTTTCTCCTCAATGTTTACTATCATATATATTTATTACATCTTCGATCTGATAGATTAGGCCGCTGATTTTATTCAACATAGGACAGAAAATATTCCAGCTAAACTTTCCGTAGTACAACATCACATGGATACCCTTTGCATATACCTACATATATGAACTATACAAGCCCGTGGACTACTGCAATTCTGACATCAGTTTATACATCAGGAAGACCGGTGGGGTTAAGTGAGCCTCAAGTTAATCACGGATATAACGGAGTGAGTAATTAGACCGATCTCCGTCGACCGCCTATGCACAGCGAGGAGGCCTTAGGTCAGATTTTCTCCCATAATATGGTAGATGTCATGACAAAATTTTCTAAAACAACAAAACGTATTCTAGCTTCTGAACAAACCAATTTATCCATTCTTCTTCAGTCATATTTTTATTTTGTTAATTATTCACATATCAACTACATGCCTGTAGCTTATTTTTGTGACTATAAATATTGATTAACGCTTGACTAAATGAAGTTGACTAACACTCCTCCACTGCTCATCCTTTCGTTTCGCTTCATTCGTTGCAATTCTCTAATTGTCTGTTCCGATCAACAAATGTACATAATATACATAGTCAAACATCCATTCTCCTATTTAACCACATTATTCACTAATATGATCTAAGTTGATAATTATATACGAGGATTAACGATTTGTATATTTTAATAACAACCAATCATACAATATTACTAGATTGAGATCATGAACCGATTGGTGTTAGACCACTATTGAAAGCCTGAAAGGCCGTTTCTTCCCACTGTGGGACTCCTCAGCAGTGCGCATCCACGACTCTGCTCGCGGGATTCGAACCCATGGTATTCAGTTTCATGCGCGAATGATCAACCTACTGGACCACTGAGATGGCACCCAACAATGTTAATGTCTGACCTTCACCAGTCCACGAAATTGCGCGACCATCTTCCATTGTACTGAGGTAGATACCTGTCTCTACCCAACATGGATTAGCTCCACTGGTCACGGCTTCTCAATCAAAAACTTAACAATCACCACAACCTCTAAACTGATAATATTACTCAAATTAGATCCATGGACACTATACAGTTTTCACAAGATAAAACAGAACTAATCTGACCAACACATTTCTAATGCCAAATCACTACACACAAACTAACATCACAATAACATTGATCCGTAAACAACACCAACAACAGCAACAACAATAACAATAACAAGTCACCTTGAAAAGAACTCTCACTATTGCACTTAACCTTGTAATTTATATATATATATATATCATTACACCTACGAACTAAACAATTGATTGGTTGAAAAAAGTTGACCAATCAAAATCAAGTTTATAAAAACGCTTAAATTCTATTTGTCTATTTCATTAAACCAACTAAACCACCTACCCACCCCCTCATATTATTGATTGATGAATAGTAATAAAACAGGATAGCAACAATAACAGCAGCAATAACAAAATACAAAAAAAAAACCCAGTAATAACCCACTTCATTCATATTAAAAGTATATAAAAATTAAAAATAAAAAAAAATTATGCATTATTCAAGTAAACAATTTGGATTATTTACATTAAGTTGTATTATATTATTACATTTATATTTATTTAAAGATGATATAACAGTTTATATTATACAATGGTATAATCAATTGATATCATTATTACAATTATATCATTATAATATTATGAATGATTCAATGATTATTGGATACATTTATATCATAATAATAATGATTGGATTATATATTACTTATAAAATATATAATAGATATCATGTATATCATAAAAATAATAATCAAAAGGAACATGTTAAAGTTGAATGAACTATATTTTTAATTGTACATGTATATAAAGTTTATGATTTATCATTATTGGAATGTTGGAAACAATGGATAAACGTTTGATGTTCTTGTGGGATTCTTCAGTAGTTGAGTAACTATGATCTAGTATCGAGAGATTCAACCGGCTGTCCAATCGACCGGTATCCAACGGTGTTAATGTGTAACCTAAATCAATTCATGAAATTATGTGAACATCTTCTATTGTACTGAGGTAGATAATTGTATCTACACGATACGGATTAGTTCAACTCGTCACGGCTTCTCAATAGAACTCCGAGAATTTTATCACGAAGCTAGTCATAAGTGAGCCTTATTCAATATTATATATTTGATTCAGATCATGAATCGATTGGAAAACCTGAAAGCACCGGACAGCCGTTTCGTTCTATTGTGAGACCTCTAACCAGTGAGCACCCACGATCCTTCACCGTGAGATTCGAACCCATAACCTATCGGTTTCGCGCGCGAACGCTTAATCTTTAGATCACTGAGCCGACCGGCATCTAACGGTGTTAATGTCTAACCTCAATCAATTCATGAAATTGTGCGAACATCTCCCATTGTACTGAGGTAGATAATTGTATCTACACGATACGGATTAGTTCAACACCTCAAGGCTTCTCAATAGAACTCCGAGAATTTTATCACGAAGCTAGTCATAAGTGAGCCTTATTAAATATTATATATTTGAATCAGATCATGAATCGATTGGAAAACCTGAAAGCACCGGACAGCCGTTTCGTTCTATTGTGAGACGCTTCCTAAGTGAACAACTACGATTACGCATCATGAGATTCAAAATCAGAACACATCGGTTACGCACGCGAATGCTTAACCTATAGAACACTGAACCAGCCGACATACAACGGTGTTAATGTCTAACCTCAATCAATTCATGAAATTGTGCGAACATCTCCCATTGTACTGAGGTAGATACTTGTATCTACACGATACGGATTACTTCAACTCGTCACGGCTTCTCATTAGAACTCCGAGAATTCTACGACGAAACTAGTCACTAATCATTGATATCATGAATTGATTGATGTTAGACAACCATTGAAAACCTGGAAACATTGGAAGGCCGTTTTGTTCTTGTTATAATTTTTGGCTTATGTGCCCTACTAATGTATAACGCAACAATACCACCAAATAGAGAGTAGTGAATTATCGATTGGATCAATGACGCATAAAACACATGTGAGAAGTCTAGAGTAATTATTGGTCCTGCTTTCCGCATAGCCAAGCCAGTTAAGTCCAGAACATTAAATCATAGCCTCTGCAATATGAATCATGTATTTCAAACATACTAGGTTAATATACCAATCAAACAGATCACATCGTACCAATAAAAATAGGTAACAACATTTATACAATCTTTGGCCAAATGTGGCTGTGAACGTAGGAGGTAGTAATTAATAGACAGGGCATAATTCAAGAATGGTAAATCGTATAATAATTGTTCATAGATCAAAATAAAGCTCATAATAAGAGGAATACGAATATGTATAGTTTGGTTACTTAGCAATTAAAGGATAAAAATATGGGCATAGTATTGATCCATAAATGGATCCCAACAGTTAGCATTTATTATGCTTATCGAGACAATAACAGTTTTATTATGGGACTTCTCACCAGTGAGCATCTACAATTCCGCATCGTGAGATTCGAACTCAGGATCTATCTATTTCGCGCGCGAATGTTTACCCTCTAGAATACTGAACCAGTCGACATCTAACAGTACAAAATAGGACTATCAGCACAAAGTATTACAACAAGTTTTGTTTTCCTATTTCATGATCGATATTGACGATAAATATTGAGTAGTTGCCAATTAACTGTTAGCAGTTCAAGAATTAACATTTGAATAATGTTCATTTTTATTCAATATATATTGCCAGTTACCATGATGTCTCTGATTGAGCTTTTGTTGTAAGTTGTACAGAGAAAGGTCGTAAACTTTTCATAAACGTGCCTGAATAGGTTATATGATTAATAAACATAGTGATATGTTAGAACAAACAAACAATACAGATAACTTATTGAAATGTCTAGATGGTAAGGGGGGGAGGGACAAGTAGCTCAGATATTCAAATAGGTCACCTTGTTACCAAATCTTGACATTAATTCTGTACGCATACCTCATCCCTACTATATTGAATGCAGTTGTATACAATAGGAAAACAAATACAGTACATCTTTTATAAAACATTTTTAATTCATTTAGGTGTTCTGGGAAATTTGTTGCGCATGCCCAACCACCGACGTGCAATGTTTTATGGTGTAGGAGTAGGTTGGAAGAAAGCTAAGGGCGGCCGGACCAAAACATGGCACAAATCCATGAAATCACTGACAAGTGGACTGAGCCATGTTGATAGGTGTAGACTACCTGGTTGGGATCTGCCAGACCATAGCAACCGATAATTAGAGACTTTGAATGACATGGCTCAAAATCGTTTGCAATGGCGCCGGTGCATCCACTCTCTGTGTTCTCTCAAACTCTAATCTTCTGAATCCTTCATGTCCCTTTTTTCCTCTTTCCAAATTTATTTCACTGGATTATACTCCTTGAATAACATCATCGAACCCTAATGTTCCCTATCATTACTTATATTGTCACTACCTCTACCACTACGGGATTTGAATCGATAACTGCATCTTTGTTCTAATGTGGTATGGCAACTCGAACTGATGTCTGTATGTACGAAGTTCCACGCTGTTACTGACTGACTGAATTCATTTAGGTTTATTTAACTATTATCCATGTTAATATTAACTTCTTTTCCAATGAATGATATGATCACAAAATATTTATCACTTCTTCAAATGATGGTGAATATTTGTAGCCTAAGTTGGATGCTTTTGGTTGTGCTGTTTTCTTTTCATAGCTCGATGGTCGTGTTGTCGTTCTGGATATCGTCAATGATTATGATACTTATCTTCAACCTATAAAGACATAAACACAAACTAACAATGAAACGACACTATTTTATCACTGATATCAATGTAGGAAGACAAACACAGGAATTTCTGGAAGTTTGGAATTCACGTCAATCTGTAATCAATAAGTATATCGATATGGACCTTAATTACCGATCTATCGAAGTGTCCAGAACTTTAAAGGCATCATTTTGTAGACGAAGGCGTACTTCGTCACTGCCTTCAGATACAGTGTGTTTTGCCAATTCATCTGGCAACAACAATCGAACTGCTTTCTGCACTTTTCGGCTTGAAAATGTCGACTGGAGCCCGTTCACCTTGGATTCGGTGAGCAAGTTGAATGTCTCTTGGCATAATAGTGACACGTCTGGCATGGATACTTTACACTTCATTTCAAATTTCCTCGAAAAGACTTTATTAATAAAGAAGATTACACCATTTATTTGTTTAATGAGAGTTTGCAAGACACTTTATCATCACTAGAACAACTCAGTGACTGGGGACGCATAGAAAATATCTCTTTCCTTTCAAAATAGTCCTCTCAGATAAATATATCTGATAGCTTTTTACAAATATCCCAACAACTAGACCTATCGGTTTCACACGCGAATGCTTAACCTATAGAACACTGAACCAGCTGACATACAACGGTGTTAATGTCTAACCTCAATCAATTCATGAAATTGTGTGAACATCTCCCATTGTACTGAGGTAGATACTTGTATCTACACGATACGGATTACTTCAACTCGTCACGGCTTCTCACCAAAACTCTGAGAATTCTGTCACGAAGCTAGTCACTAATGAGCTTTATTCAATATGATGTTTTTGATTGAGATCATGAATCGATTGATGTTAGACAACCAATGAAAATTTGAAAGCACTGGACGGCCGTTTTGTTCTATTGTGAGACCTCTAACCAGTGAGCACCCACGATCCTTCACCGTGAGATTCGAACCCATAACCTATCGGTTTCGCGCGCGAACGCTTAATCTTTAGATCACTGAGCCGACCGGCATCTAACGGTGTTAATGTCTAACTTCAACCAATTCACGATATTGTGCCAACATTCACTATAGTTTTCCATGAGTTACTATCACACAACACATCTGGTTGAACTCCACTGTTCCCTGATTCTCATTGGAGGAAATACCCGTTGAAGCCAATCACTAAATAATCATTTAACTAACTCATACATCAAGTCCAAATTCATATATTTAAATTCGAATCATTTTAACCAGATGACAGTTAATGATATTAACCAGTACCAGCAAACCAAAACAGGTTAAGCAGAATTTAAAATGGATAGCAACAATAGTCGAAATCATGAGTCAATTGAAGCCAGACAATCATCTACTCACCAATGACTGACTTCAAAAAGCATTTCCTGAAGTCGTAGTGAGAAGCTGTTATCAATGGTGTTCAACCAGGTCTGTTGTGAGATATCAGCTCACTGAAGACAATGGTGGATGTGTCGCTCAATTTCGTAGATTAGTTGAAGTTAAATATTAACACTGTTGTTTGCACGCCAGCTCAATGGTCTAGTGATTAAATGCTCGCGCGCGAAATCAGTAGGCCCTGGGTTCGAATCTCGCAGGAGGTGAGGTCGTGGATGCGCATTGCTGAGGAGTCCCACAATAGAACGAAACGGCCACTCAGTGCTTCCAGGTTTTCTATAATGATCTATCTTAAATTGATTCATGATTTCAACCAGTGAAATCTCTAAAATCTCCACAAAACTCCTTCTGATAACTATCTTCATCATTACAATTTATCAATCATAACAACAAAGAAGTATTATAGCAACTCACGTTCAATTGAGTTTGCTCTCACCTAATTCGGTTAAGCCCTTTTTTATTAACTTATTAAACGGAAAAAGTCACCTGCACTATAATAACTTATTGTATCCTTATTACTGTTGCGAATGTATGAACATGTATGCTTGAGCAAGCCTTACCGCCTATACATTTATTCACGCTACTAGCCTTATTATTAACCGCTTAATTGACTCGATGATTCATTCATTTCACTATGGATATATATTTCCATGTTATTCATATTCAAGACTCGCTCGCTCTTGCCCTTGATCTCTCTCGCCCGCTCGCTTGCTTGTTTGACTTTCGGCACAACTATTTCATACTTGCTTAACGCATCTGTAATTTTGGATATCTGTGTGTAGTCCTATAATAAACGTAAATAACACTTCGTTTTCGCCTTCTGATTAATATACCATTGGAGCATTATTTAGTGACGGTTACCAAGACGAACTGTATACGAAGTTTAAGGAATATATCGAACACCGATCACCACAATATATATTGATGTATATTCATCTATAAACTAAATACACTTTATTGATTAGAACTTTATAATAACAGTATACATACAACTATATAATGGTGTCATACAACTATCATTTACAATTCTATACACATTCAGAATGATTATAGTATATAATGGAATTGATAGATAAAACAAAAAATCAATAAAATAAAGACAGAAATAATTTTAATGTATATAGTAACATTTATTTGATTAATCAGCTACAGTGTAGTACCAGGTACATATGTGTGTATTAGTTCATGTTACCATATCATATTCATTAGTACAATAAGATGAACATTGAATTCATAGAAAGAGTTATTTCAATAGTAATAATAATAATAATAATAATAATAATAATAATAATAATAATAATAATAATAATAATAATAATAATAATATATATATATATATATATATATATATATATAAAGAAAGATTGTATATAAAGATATCATAATACAAGGGAGAAAGAATTAACGTGAGTGTATTACACCTATGTCATTGTGATCGATTCTGAACTATGTCATTGTAGTGTTTGTCATTCTATTAAGCTCATATACCTTATTATTATTCTCACTTTCGGATAGCCCATTCTATTCATTCTATTTGAGTCATATTCTGACTTTGTTAATTATTCACTTATCAATATCTTGACTGTTTTTGTATGAGCTCATAGGCGTATGTACACTTCTTATCCCATTACTTATCACATGTCTGTAACTTATTTTTGTGGATTTATAAATATTGATTAACGCTTGGTTAAATGGGAGTTGGCTTACCAGCCATCTCCACCGCACGCCAATTTAACTTCGCTTTCTCATCTTCGCATCGTTTCTCCGTTTGTTTGTCTAATCAATAATTATACAAAATATATGCATTCAAAACTCCATTCTCGTTATTTGACTTATTTAATTCCCTTATTAACTACTAACGCGATTTAAGTCACTGGATTATATACGAGGATAGCTGATAGCAATCATTCATACGATTAAATTGGAATCAGATCTCGGGCCACCAAGAGTCTGTAACCATTGGTTACAATAGTCATGTGAACTACAACTATGTAGTTTGGTATCTACCAACATGGTTTTCATTTTTATTATCTAACAAGTCACCTTCCTGGGATAATAGAACTAAAAATGATAATTTTTTTTTAAGCATTGTATTATTCTAGGTTTGTACAGTGTAGTGATAAAACTATTCCAGTGATGATTAAGTTGCTATGGAACTGATAGAATTACTTCTAGTAATTATCATTCAAATGTTGACTAAGTTGATTTTCAAAGAAAATAACTTTGTTTACCAATGAAATATATAAATTACGTGTTTATATATGTTATAATTTGTGACCTGTGTACCTTGTTAATGTATAACCTGATGATACCGACAATTAAAGAGCAGTGAATTATCGATCGGACCAGTGACTCATACAAGCCTTATGAACAGTCTACAGTACATATCAGTTCTGGTTCGTGCCTAGCCAAGCCAGATAAATCTAGAACACCAATCTCAGCCTCTGCAATATGAATCATGTATTTCAAGCATACTAGGTTTATATACTAACCAGATAGATCACATCGTACCAATAAAAATAGGAAACAACATTTGTACAACATTTGGTCAAATGTCGCTGTGAATGTGTGAGGTAGTGACTAATACACAATACATTATTATTTGGACACATAGATATTGGTACAATGAGGGCTGTGATACTGCCCGGGTGCCCAAACCAAAACAGGTAGTTTTCTTAGGGAGCCACACCCCGAGCCTTCGACCTGAACGTCTGATCCACAAGGCAGTGGAACATCGTAAGGAGATGCAGTCTCATGGTAGCCGGTGACCAACGATTGGTTCATACGCCATTTGTTCCTTCAGGATACCGGAGTCCATGTGCACCATTGGTTTGGAATCCGGTTAAAGCGCCGAACATTCGCTTTTCGTCCTCTCATTTTCGTAAAGAACACCCGTGGTGCGAGAAGGCAGTGAGTAGGACTTCCCTGGCAGAGGCTATATACGCGTGGCCATGTGAGAGCATTTGGGGGCGTTAAAAAGTGTAAACAATCACTAAACCCAGATTTAACAATGTCTCCTAACAACTACCTAACAATAAACTAATGAGTTCTCATGATGTTGAATTATTCAGATTAGTGATTTTATTACAATTTAATCGATAAAATTTGATCATTATTAACATGATTACATAATCATAACATTGGTTATTACTACAACTCATACTAATAATCAATGACTAATCAATATAAAATTTCATTAGATAATTACAATATCATATGTATATTGTTGAATGAGATTAAATTATGAAATATAAAACGTCATTGTCAACTTGTTAACAGTTCTTTAAATTTCTTTAAGAGATTTAGAACCCGAGTTTTCTCAGAGAATGATGTGCCCGTAGTTGATTCTTCGCCTAAATTATTCACATAGCCTGAAATTAATGAAAAATGAAACAGAATACCCATTATACTACTACTACTACTACTACTAATATTAATAATAATAATAATAATGACCGGTTTATCCAATACCTTATGTTCATTACACTACGGAATATTCAGTAGAGAGAACTATATTGGCCGACTCATCTCAACATACTTACGCCTGTTACCCCTCGTAGAGGAACATAGACTGCCCACCAGCACTCTCCATCCAACTCTATGTAGTGAACGAGAACACAGGTGAGGACAACTAAATAATAATTACAGAATGTCTTAGTAAAATTTGAGAACCATACAGTAAATACTTCATTTGCAAAATATCAGTCAATCGCCCCAAACTTCATTGTTCTTTTGTTTCCACACCAATCATTCTCTGTTCTCGTTCTCTTTTCTTCGATCGTTGTAACCTTCTGCCTCCAGGTATTTTACTTTCGACTGATGATACATACTACTTATATATATCGACATCAGTAGAACACACAACACTCGTCCTCCTTTTAAAGCAGTCGTTCTTGTGGTGTCACGCTCTCCGTCAAAATGTCGAGTCTACAACGCGTTGACCTTCACAACTCCATCGACCTGGCGGACCATCAGAATTCGATATCCACCCAGCATCCACTACAGTCAACGCTACCCCGCCAGAACACTGCACTTGATGTCACGTAGCACTCTAGCCCCAGGTCTGCGGAACAGCACCCTTCACTATTCCTGGTCGGCAGTGACACCTGTCCTGGGCAATCCTTCCCAGTTCCTTCATCTCAACTAGGAAGCCTGTATTTCAACTGATGATTAGCCATATTATGCGGTTTGCCAGAGTGAAATAAACACACACAGAGAGTTCCAATCTGTAATTAGGTATCAGTAGTGTAATTATAAACCTACATGACATCTTAGAGACAATGAAGCACTAACTTAAAACATTATCAGATATGGCTCAAAATAGAAGCCACTGGCGATAGTGATGTAATTTCCCCCTACTTCCTTTATATGAGGGAGCCTTTCATTTATTAATTTAACAATCCTCGAACATCTTTTCATTGCATATTATAAAATATCTAGTCTATGTATACTTGAGTACCCTTTTAATGAGAGCGGATGGAATGTCTTAGTTTAGAACAAAAATTTAACAACAACAACGAAGTTCAAGAAAAACAAACCTTGAACTGTATCAAGTACGGAGTTTATTGAAATAGATCGCATTTTCAATAGGTGAAGTACACGTTCCAAAATCTATTTTTTTTTGTGTATTATTAAAAACAAGAAAGTAAACAAAACAATTATAAACATCAATGTAAAGAATCTCTACGGTAAAAGTATATCACTCTATTGACAACCTTCAATAGACCAACCGGGAATTACAAAATAACCATTCATGGATTCTCGTACGAAATTTTAAATGTAAAGAATGATAGCTTATTTGCTATTATCAACTAAGAAAAACACTGACAATATCTATTATGCAATCAGCCAGTGAATAAGAAATGATGTTTAAGCTAAATCACAAGAAATACATGCTGTTAATGCCCCCAAATGACCTGATATGACCGAGAGTGGGATGGACCAGCCCTCCCTCTCGAAATGCTCTTACATGAGCACGCGGATACAACCTCTGTCAGAGAACTCCTACTCACTGTTGTTTACCGAATTGAGATGACGAAAAGTGAATGTCCGGCACTTTAACCGGATCCCAAATCAACGGTGCACATGGGCCCCAGTATCCTGAAGGAACAAACGGCATATGAACTAATCGTTGGTCATCGGCTACCATAGGACTGCACCTCCTCACGATGCTCCACTGCCTTGTGGATCAGACCTTTAAGTCAAAAATGACAATATTTACTGAAAATTCTACTCACGCTTCGTTTAACAGTCAAACAGTTCACATTATTATTATTATTATTATTATTATTTACCACATCACTTGTTCACTCTCTTTTATTCCCATTTTGTGTATCCTTATTTTTCGACTTATACAACAGCTCGCCTATGGTGAAAACTCGGTTCGATCTAAACGTTCTCGAGTCACTGCTTGGTTGATAATTGTATGCTACCAGTCCGAGAGATGGTGCGACACAGTGGCTAGAGACGTTATTAGATATGACTCAGAATAGAATCCAGTGGCGATCCTGCTGTAACCTTCTTTAACTTTCTTCATAAAAAGTGGTTGTATATTTCCATTTACCCCATTATTATTATTAATATTATTATTACACTACCTTACACTAATCTGGTCGTTATTGTTCTTTTTCTTTCTTATACGCACCTTACCTTCTTTTTTTCTTCCCATTCTGATTGTTTTGTGTGGCGCATATATATTTGGTGCCCCCCTTGTACCAATATTTATGTGTTCAAATAAATAAATAAATGCGGAGCGTGTATTAAAGTACTTGATGTGAATTAAAGCATAGTCAAGAGTGTTAATATAGCTAGATAGTTATCCTGCACTATATAACTTCTAATTCTATAAAACCATAATCTTTTTGAAAATTGTAAACAAAAAAGCGGTAACGCATCACTGTATGATATATGTTGTTAGTTGGTGACAAAAACTGACTTCTCGTAGCGGATGGGGTGTGTTGTCTACGAAATTGAGACGACGAAAAGCGAATGTCCAGCGCATTAACCGGGCTAATGGATATAGAGGATCTACTTTAGGGCAGTTAGAAAACCCTGATTCCAAACCAATCATATACATGGGATCCAGGAGGAATAAATGGCATTTGAACCTATTGTTAACCACCGACTACTATAGGATTGCATCTCCTAATATTGCCCCACTACCTTATGAATAAGAACTCTAGATGAAAGGCTCGGGAAAAGAGTCCATAGAGAAGCCATTTGCTTTGGTTTGGGCGTCCAGACAGTATTCCAGCCCCGCACATATATTGAATGACGAAATGTGGTGCATATATATTCGATGCCTCTTTGTACTAACGTTTATATGTATAAATAAATAGATATTAGGTAACAAAAACCTTACAAAGTTAACATTCATTCCTAATGTGTAAACTTCTTTTCTTTTATTTATAAAACATAATTTAACACGTAGAGATTAATTATTCATATGAAAACTATTATTTCATTGTAATTTTATTTCCTTTTTTTTTATTGTTAATTGCTTTATAATTAAATACTATTTCTTAATTGACTGATAAATCGGTCAAGGTCATCAGGAGAGTATAATTTAATTAAATGCACTTTTTTATGCAATACAATCTCTCTCTCTCTCTCTTATTCTTGTAATGAAAAGATTTCGTGGATTAGTTGAAGTTAGACATTAACACTGTTGGGTGACGGCCGGCCGGCTCAGTGGTCTAGTGGTTAAGTGCATGCGCGCGAAACCAGTAGGTCCTGGGTTCGAATCTCGCAGGGGGGCGAGGTCATGGATGCGCACTTCTGAGGAGTCCCAAGATAGGATGAAACGGCCGTTCAGTGCCTTCAGGTTTTCCATAGTGGTCTAGCTTCAACTGACTCATGATCTTAACCATTGAAAAGATTTTAATTAACAAATTTAATTTCCCAAGTATACAGGAGTATTTTACAATTGATTCATCATTTTTTTTTAACTTAAATCTAGGGTTTCTTATCAACTAACTTGAACCAGCGACTTACATCTCAACACATTGCATGCGATGTTAAGTTACCAAGATTGTTGGCTACAATGTAATATGACCGATAGGATTGGATCAGTATTAGGAAGAACTTGAGATAGATGATATTGGTCATACTGAGTGACCACTCGGTCGTATGTACATAGAAATACTACAAGAGATCAGTCATGGCCTGAGTAACTCACTAATAACGCCTCACACTGTGAAGCTGAGTGACACGGAATTCAATTCACTCTAGAGAGCATCATTTCCCTTAAGATTACAGGTAGAGTTTACTAACGAGTGCCAACTAATCACCGACTACCAAGGGACTGCATCTCCTTACGATGCTCCACTGCCTTGTGGTTCAGACCTTCACGTAGAAGGCTCCGAGTGTGGCCCCCTAAGAAAACTACCTGATTCGGTTTAGGCACCCAAGCAGTATCACAGCCCACACACAAATCAAATGAGATTTGTGTAGCGCATATGTATCTGATGCCCCCTTGTACCAGTATTTATTTGTTCAACTATTAAGGAACCTAAGTTCAGGGTTTCCTATCGACTACCACCTCACATAGAAAGACTCCATTGTGAACTAACTACTCGAAAGTAGATTCATCTAATTTCCTAAAAACTGAAAAGAACCATAATTTTGTGTAGCATATACACCTGAAATTATCCATGGAAAATAATAATAATAATGTACTACTACAGTAACTCATTGGTAAATGGTGAAGCAATGGTTACTTTTGTGACAAAGTGCACCAGCTATAATCCACAGTTTACGTATACACTTAGAGAATAAATTTCACTGTTTGACAAAAATATGAGCTTAAATCACCAACCGACCTTAATTAAACCATTATCTAAAACGTGGAAGTACTGAACAACTAGTGTTCTAGTGAGAAGCCATGACCAATGGAGTTCAATTGGTGTCACATATGAGACAGTTATAAACCAAAGGGAATGGATGAGGGTTGTGCAATATCGTGAATAGATTGAATGTATACACTCGATAGTCTTAAAGTTCAGTATCCGAGCACGAGACCGAAGATCCTCGGCTCGCTTTAAGGATGGGTAATGCTGAGGATGAAATGGCCACCCAGTGATTTCAGGCTTTCCATGTTGGTCCAGCTAAGATTAATCTCTGGTTCGAACTCAGAAAATTCTCGCGGCATTAGTGTTGCTTACGAAATTGAGAGGACGAAAATCGAAAGTCCAGCGTTTTAACCGGGTTTGTGGACACAGAGAATCTACATAGGGGAGTTGGAAAACCAAAATTCCAAACCAATGGTGCACATGGAATCCAAGATCGTGAAGGAATAAATGGCGTATGAACCAATTATGGGTCACTGGTTACCATGGGACTGCATCTCCTGACGTTGCTCCAGTGACTTGTGAATTAGACCTCTAGATGATAAGTTAGGGCAGCGACCTCCTAAGAAAACCACCCGATTCGGTTTGGGCACCTGGGTAGTATCACAGCCCACATACAAATCAAGTGACCTGTGTATTGCGTATCTATTCAGTGTCCCTTTGTATCAATATTTATGTGTTCAAATAAATAAAACTCATTAAATACACTAGTACACAAGTTTATACAACTTTAAGACTGAATTGCAATGTTCTCTCTCTCTCTCTTACAATTTTATTGCTTCGAAGTTAATATTTAATACATTACGGGATACAAGATTAGCTAGTGGGAGATACATAGACTCGGACAATAATTGAATAAATATTGATTTAAGGATATTTTACATCATCAGTTGAATTTAGATAAACAAACACTGAAAATCGAAAATCACCGGACGCTTATTTCTTTTTAATATGAGTTTCTTTAAAGTTAGATCATCAAAAACCTAGTGAGGTGGAATACAATACCTCGTCGCGGCAACTAAATGCATGATCACGAGAGCATTAAGTTGAAGTAAGTCACACTAGTTAACTTCTGGTTCTCATTGTTAAAATGGAGGGAATGTTCATAGAGATTATTTAATTCGAAGGAACTTCACATTGTGGATTGATCAACAGACTAAAAACAACTATTAAAAATGAGAAAGAACATAAAATCAGTTTTCTTTTTGGTCATTTCCAGCATTATTTTAAGCATACAATATATGCTACTAGAACTATTTAAGTAATTGAAAACATTATAGGAAAGAAAATAAGAGCTCACCGTTGGTGCACCGTTTACACAAACATCAAGAATTATAACATCTAAAACTTGTAGTGGCAATAGTCCACCTTCTAGACGTTTGAGCATCAATTCTGTTTCCACTTCTTCCCGAGTATAGCCGATCCACTTTTTCTCGTTCTATGAATTTTTTAAAGAAAAATTACAAACATGTTTCAAAGTTTAATAGTGGTATTTGAAGATAATAATTTAAGTGGACAAATGGTAGGTTAAGATAAAACCTTTCTAAAAGAAACAGTCAGTTAATGGTGGGGGTATTGATTTTCTAACCAAAAGGTTGTTGATAGGAGCCATGCTCCCTTACATACTTTGATTCGAACGAATAAGTCACAAAACATCTCCCCCATTAATAATTCATAACCGAAATTCTCTTCTTGTAGATACAATAACTCCATGAGAGAACTCTTAGAGCTCTAGTAAAAAGTCGCGCAAAATCGCGAAGCGACTTCAGTTAAAAACGTAGTCTACTGGATTCTAAATTAGTGAATTAAAGGTAACATGTTTGCTTGAGAGCTTCAAGTTCAATGTGATTGGAACTGTGCACTTGATATCCAAGACACTCCCAAACAGGTCACTAGTTGTTACAATGTTAGACAGGTTACATATTGTTCCAATGCAAAATGATAAGTATGAAACGCAAACATGAGTAACATAATGTGAATTAATTACTCATCTGGCTTATATCACCATTCATATATACCTGTCTAGATATCAGATGAACATGACATACATCTACGCGTGACTAATGTACACTACTGGTTCCCATTTATCGACCTTCTTATTCTTTATACCTGACAGGGAAAGTAGTCGGATGTGTTTATTATCACTGAAACAGACTACAGAGCATAACAGCGCATTGATGAGGAACCCCATTCTGGGACGAAATACTTATCCCATGCCTCACGATTATTCATAGTTGTTTAGCTACCAATGATGTCAACCATAAATATAAAACGAACTAACTTAAAAAAAATTGAAAGACATTATTACCCTTCGCATTGTTTCAACTTTACTATTGGTTGCTTTAACAATATCTAAGTATTTCAAATGTAATTCAATTAGTCGATCCACTTTTTCATGATCATTCTCGACAAATTTAGCCAAAACACGAGATTTGAAAGTTTCCGGAGGTGAATGACGTAGCAAAGCGGAAATAATACTGTATAGACAAAAAAGAAACAAAGGGACCAGCAAAATCTTCGTATCTGTAAAGAGGCGTGGTGAAAACTCGAAATTCATGAGAAATGATTATTTAAAAAGTTTGAGATATTATTTATCCACATATTTGGGTTGAGATACTGCCTGGATATTTAGCTAAAAGTAGATGAATTTCTTAAAGAATGTATACATCCACGCCACTGTGAACGATTCTGGGCCATTTCACCCAGAGTCGCCAACCCTTGGTTATGATAGTCACACGGACCCCAACCAAGTAGTCTGCATCTACCAACATGGCTCAGACTAGAAGTTAGTGACTTCAAGCACTTGTATCACGAGGCAAGCACTAACTTGGGATCCCGAAGCGAAATGAAAAAGAGGAAGGTCAAAGAACACACATGAAAAGGATGTATATCAATTGGAAATAACTGGAAAGGGTTGCCTAGGACATAGTTCGATGGGGAATGGAGGTGGGCGACCTATGCCCCTTCATGAGGGGCAACAGACGCAAGTATGTAATTTTATAGCCTGAAACATTACCACGGAGATGGTCCGGCCTCGACTAATATTGAAAGTTGATCAACAGAATTCGATCAGTATTTAGTGCAAGATAAACAAGACATCGGTGTTTATTCAGTAATCAGCCGATGTAATCTATTACCTCGTCAAGTTCATTAAATAATAGTAATGTCATCAATAGTTACAACTAGTCAGTCAGTTATATGAAACGTAAAACCTGACACATACATGAATCGATCCGTTGCCACATCACATTGGTACAGTGAGATAAAAATTACTTCAAGACAAATCCCAGAGTAGTAGAGGTAAGAAAAACTAACCACAGTGGCAGTAGAAAAGATTAAGTATAGAAAAGGAAGACAGGGTATAAGAAATTTTCGGGACTAAAGTTGTAGGGGAAAACAACGAGTGAATGCATCTGCCCCGTTGTGAGCAACTCTAACCCATTTCACCCGACGTTCCTAATTAATTGTTATTATTATCACTTGAACTCCAATTAGGTAGTTCACAACTACCTACATGACTCAGTCCAATAATCAGTGTCTTCATATCTTGATACGGTTGTCTCTAACTTTCTTCCAACCTACTACACCACACAACATAGCCTATCGAGGTAGGCGGTGGTTAAGCATACAAAACACCTATGATCGAATACTAGTAACATAATATTCTCTATTCTTAATTATCTTGGTTCATATCCATAAAGTAGAAAGAAGAGAACTGCTGCACAGCAAACTGAAAAGTTTACACTTACTTAATTACATGTTCTTCCATTTCAGCTGCAGTAGGACCACTAATAACTTTCACCTTGGTTTTTGATCCAGATGAAGTTGATCGAAGTGCATGTTCACGTGGACAATGCATAAATAATGGGAAAATAGTTCGTAAACCTAAAATTTCAATGAACTTTGAACAGTTAGCTATAACTACAGCTTCAGGATCCACTGTATTGATAGTAGACTTTTGATGTGATTGTAATTCATTGGTATTTTGATCCATTAATTGTGAAACAGGACATAAAGTATAGTCAAGAACACGTAGAGCACTGTCGCGAGACATATGTTTTTCACTAAAATATACACAAAAAATAATGATAATTTTACAGAGAAAAAATTAAAAATAGATCTATGCGTTTCATTTATCACATGTTGATTTCAGTTGAGTTACCATTGGAAACCAGAGAGTATCGCACAGTCGTTTCATCCTAGTATGAGACTACTCATCAGTCCCCATCCACGACACCATTATAGATAGAGCACAGAACTTTTGAATTACGTAGTTATTTCTTAAATATTAGAGCCGCAATCCCATGGTACCACCTCAACTTTAATCACCTCGCGATGTAACTCAGAGATCATTTATTATTATTATTATTATTTTAACACATAAGTATAGGTACAGGGAGGCACCAAATACATATGTGCCACACAAATCTCAATTGATTTGTGTGAGGGCTGTGATACTGCCCGGGTGCCCAGACCGAACCAGGTGGTTTTCTTAGGGGAAAACACCCCGATCATTTCACCTGAACGTCTGACCCACAAGGCAGTGGAGCATCGTAAGGAGATGCAGTCCCATGGTAGCCGGTGACCAACGATTGGTTCATACGCTATTTGTTCCTTCAGGATACTGGAGTCCATGTGCACCATTGATTTGGAATCCGGTTAAAGCGCCAGACATTCGCTTTTCGTCCTCTCATTTTCGTAAAGAACACCCGTGGTGCGAGAAGGCAGTGAGTAGGACTTCCCTGGCAGAGGCTATATACGCGTGGCCGTGTGAGAGCATTCGGCCGTACCAGGGCATTTGGGGGGCAGAGATCAATTAACGACATTGGTGACAACCGTCTTATTCCCGACATGTCTGTACTCCAGGAGACTTGAAAGAACGCTAGTTCGAGAGGTATTGGTGGATGTACACTCGGTCTGATCAAGATTCATGTGTTAGAGTTTTAAGGTGATGTGATTAACACTCGACGACCATAGTACAGATGGGTACAAATTCTGGTATAACATGGAACCAAAAGAAAATATGCAGCGCACAAAATGAAGTGAAACTAATTCTGACACTGACAATCGTTCGAAGATAACAATAACCGAATACCAAACGTCATCGAACACCCTAAGCTAAGAGTGGGTAGGTTTCACAAATATAAACCAGAACTTTTCTCACAAACCCATCGTAAACCCGACCATTTTTACAACAAGAACTGAAGAGCAAATTTCTGACTGGTTCAATGTATTCAGAACTACGTTTAGGATATAACATCCAACGCAATCTAGTTTTTGATGGTTGTCTAACTGAGTTCCAGAATGCAATGAAAGTATTAACTGAATAAAATAACTACCAATAAAACTGATATTAAACATTTAACTTACCGAAGCATTAAATTCATTAGTTGTATACCTTCACCTTTTAAAAATCTATCTTTATTTTCAGGTAACATTAGTGAACTACAAAGACAATCGAATAAATTAAGCATTAATTCAATTTCTTCTTGACTTCCAGGATCATGTCGTTTATAAACAGATAATTGTTGCAACAATATATCAATACCATCTACTTCACCTAATTGACGACGATTAGCTTCATCCATTTGTAATAAAATTGATAATAGCTCACTAACGTATAATTTATTTTTGTCAAATACTGGACGTTTTTGTAAACGTCGTAGAAGCCATGCAAATAAACCTTGATTTGCCATTGTCACATTCATATCTGGACGAATTTCTAGTAAACTTTCAACAATTCCTATAAATGAATTTAGAAATAAAATAAAGTGAGAGAAAAGTTTACACTTGAGTAAACAATCATCAGAATTGAAAATTTGCATAGATTGTGTGTAATTTGAAAAAAAAAATAGTTTAAATCATGGTCTAACATTACTTATAATCAGTCAGTTATAATCAATATGAGAATCTGTCACAAATGATATCGGCTCAAGTTGCCATACCATATCTGTACAATGAGATGAAATTATCAAGATGGATAGCAATGAAGCGATTCAAATCCCATAGTGGTAGAGGAAGTAAAAGTATAAGCAGTAATCGGAATGATTAGGATTCGAAGATGTTCTTCAAGGAGTATAGTTCGGTGAAATAAATTTGGAAAGAGAAAAAAAGGGATACGGAGAATTCAGATTAGAATTTGAGAAAACACAAAAAGTGGATGCACCTGTACCATTGCAAACGATTTTGAGTCACGCCATTCAAGATCTCTAACCATCGGTCACTATCGTCTGGAGGATTCCAACCAGGTAGTCTACACTTACCAACATGGCTCAGTCCACTTGCCAATGACTTCATGAATTTGTGCCATGTTTTAGTTTGACCGCCCCTAGATTTCTTCCAAATTACTCCTACGCCATAAAACATCGCACGTCGGTACAGTCGGTGGTTGGGCCTACGTAACACATGTCCCAGCCATCTCAACTAATGAAGTTTCACTACTTCGTCAATTGATTGTAGTAATATCAGTGACAGTAGGGAAAATAAGAAATAGAGAATAAGATTTGAGAAAAAACTTTGCGGAATAAACAGTGTAAAATAAATTTTGAACTTAGGGGTAGAAAAAGATTGAATGCATCTACGCCAGTGCGATTTTGAACCATATCGCTTAACATTTCCAACCACTGATCGAAGTTACCACGTGGATCCTAGCCAAGTAGTCTGTACCTACTAACGTGGCTAGGGCTAACAATCAATGACGCTGTGTATTGGTTTGGCCACCGCTAACTTTCAACTTACTCGCAAACACCAGTAAATATCGTGCATCCGAGTAGACAGTAACTGAGCGCACATGCTACATGTCTCAACTAACTTGATTAGTGAAGACTCACTACGTCATCAACCGACTTATTATCATTACTTAGTAAAAAGTCATTTCGATGCATGTTAGGTGTTGAACTAACAATCTGCCGACCCAGACTTCGGCGGTAATAAGCTAGTTGCTAACCATCACTTCTGAATGAAGAAATGCTTATTCTTATATGTTAAATCATTTATGACTAATATAAATCTCTCTACAATGACTCCACTTTGCATAAGAATTCACTTGTATGTCACTTTCCTGTATTTATTTTGGGGAGATTCAGGTTATATATTCCCTATGCATATTTTTACATTACACTAAGTTTCTATTAGGCTCATTAACTGTTGCGAAATATGTTCCTATTCATAAATTACAGTTAATTAACTATGAACCTGTTACTCAGCTTTGTACTACAAATTTTCCAAGTTGTGTATTTCTTGAGATTTAGTATTTATGGTGTGCTGTGATTCCACATCACATGTGCTTAAACACATGAATTGCTGGGTTTGGACGACAAATAATAATAACTAATAGTACTATTATTATTATAGAGGATAAAAATTGTTTAATTGGCTTTTTTAATGGTACATTTGCATGTACGATCGGTGGTTTAGTGTATATAGTATCTGTGTAAGCAGAATTATTGTTATTTATGTAGGTGTAAAACACAAATACCTGGGCTTGAATAATGTAAACTATTAAATCTGAATGTAACGTGATGACTGCGAGGCCTGAAAGTCATGGACTCGATTCCTGATGAGGGGTTTCATGCTAAGATGAAACAAGTTTTCAGTGCTCCGTGCTTAAGCTAATGTTAGTATATATGATGTGCACTAAAAATCATGTAAATAGAATATTTAGGGGATATCCTGTCTGATACACTGGGCCACTCAAAGACCAAACAAATAGCTTTCATTTCTGAGGGATTGGTTTCCCAAGGGATATATATGAATCCGTACACACAGTCAGTTTGCTTTCGTCAATAAACTTTCTCACTTTCAGTTTTTTTGATCGAGTAGCCGGTTTGGCTCGTATAGGCAGACTAGGTATCAGTATCAACTCTTGGACACACAGCATCACAGCACTTTTAGTTACAAATAGAATGAATGACAGGTATATACGAAGCATTACTTATGTATTTTGGGACCACGGAGCAAGCAATATCTGGTTTAAGAAGAGTACTAGGCAAAGGTGGGAAATCAATTGATGAGGTAATAAATCGTCAGCCAAGGTGGATGGAACATGTGTTATGTATTCCCAACCACTGCCTACCTCGATGGGATGTTTAGTGGTGTAGGAGTAGGCTGGAAGAAAGCTAAGGGAGGCCAAACTGAAACATGGAACCAGTCCATGAATCCACTGACAACTGAACCTAGCCGCGTTAATAGGTGTAGACTACCTGGTTGGGACCCGCGTGATTATCGCAACCAATAGTGACATTGAATGACATGGCTCAAAACCATTTGCAATGGCACAGGTGCATCCGTTCTTTATCTTCCACCAAAGCCTGAAATTCTAGATTCCTCATAACCCTTTTTCTGTTTTATTTTACGAATTCATATTTCCTTATCAGATTGTATCTTCGATGCTTTATCTTCCCCATCCCCAATCATACTATTGCTACCTTTACTATTCTGAGATTCGGCCTGACAATTTTACCTTTGTACTAATGGGGCATGGTAACTTAAACCGATTTACATGCGTACCAGGTTGTACGTTGTAACTGACTGACACTGATTCCAATTTAATCAGTACCAATAACCAATCTAACAAGTTAAACTCACCGAGTGTTTTATGCACACCGTCAGCTTCATCTTTTTTCGTCTCATCTAAACGTGAAATATTCTGTATAAGTGATTGTATCAATTGTCCAGAAAACAAAACTTCTAAAAATTGATTAACTTTGTCTAATCCAGCTTCTTGTAAACAACTAGATTCAAGTAATTCATGCAACAGATCAATAACAGATAAACTAATATCTGTATTTTCATGAGCCAATAAACCTAACAATAATGATATGGGACGTGTTTGTTCTGCTAAGATTGGGTATAATTCTGGATTGGCTGCAAGCACCTAAAATATACATTAAAACAATAAATCAATTTTTGGGGGGATAAGAACAACTAATGTAGGCTATTTAACTTTTTTCTCTGAAAAAAGGGAGAAGGGAGTAAATTTGTCCGGACAAAGGTTAGTAATTTATGAGGGCTCTAGTTAACTCACTATAGCGAAATGTCCGTCGTCCTATCTCCGAACATTACCCGGCCTGGTTGAAAAATGAACAGTCAAAGACGATCACTTTATTACCATATAATATCAAATAAACTTGGATAAAACTTTTCAAATTATTCACCGTATTTTATATAACATATTGAGTACTTTGTATTTTTCTTTAGAATACCACCAAAGCAATTAAAATCTACATCTACAAACTGAACATATATGCCCAAAAAAATTTGTACAACCCATCTCTTCGCTTTGGACATTGATTTAAGCTAAACCAATGCTAACTGAAAAGGAATTTTTGTTAACTTCTCCCTCTAAATGCTCTTCATTTTTTTGTTCTTATACAATGTTCTCTCTCTCTCTCTCTCTCTCTCTCTCTCTCTCTGAGTCACATTATCTACTGAGTCAGTATATTACCAAACTGCAAATAAACATTCGCTGAATTTTTAGTCTCTGACTTTTATAATTACTATTGTAAATAATAGACATATTAGTGAAAATTGTTCAAATGATTTATTTCTTTGTCCTATCAACCCTTTTATCAAATTTATGGACGGGAATTTTAACTCAATCGATAAGGCACAAAAGTTCACTGATCGATAAGTAAGCAGTTGTGATTGGTAGCACAGTTAGAAGAAATGGTAACATCTGAGTTAACAAAAACGAATTATGAGAAAAAATGGTGGAAGATGGAAGGAACGAAAAAGCAAAATGAAGAAAGTGTTTGTTAAGTACGGTAACATAAACGATGGGTAGATTTGTACTATTACGATCAATTTATAATTATCATAATTGTACGAAAAGTTGAACATGAACGCAGTTTTGTTTAAATTGTGCAGATCAGTAAGTAGAGTTATGAACTCCGAAAGTGACTAGAGCACTTGTTATACATGATAAAATAATATCGACTAATACATCCATTAATAAATAAAAACACAAGTAGGTTGACAGAAGGCTGTTTTCAGTCTACCTTATGTAATCAACCTATAAAATCTCTAGGTGTTATCTACGAGGTATGCACTGTATTTATTTAGAAAAACATCGGCACTAAAATATATGTGCTAAACCAACTCCCCAGATGCCTAAACTGAAACACATGGTTTTCTAAGGGGACCACTCTTCGAGACTTTGACTCAGATCTAACCCACAAGGCCATGTCGGTAGATGCAGACTACTTGTTCGAGGTCCGCGTGACTACTGTAACCAATCGATTACAATGGCGTAGGTGTATACACTCTCTGTCTTCCCTTAAACTATGATATTAAAATCATTTCATATCTTTCTTTCTACGAACTAATTCTTTTTTTCTATACTATATCCTTACATAAAATCTCTCCTTTATATATTACACCATCGAGTTAACTGCTTCTATGAATCCGGTGTTCGTCTTGCTGTGCTAATGAGGTGTGGCAACTTGGACCGATGCCTGGTCCTACGTTGTAGCTGACTGACTGACAAGGCAGTGGGGGAACGTTGGGAGATAAGGTCCCGTGATAGCTGGTAACCAAGAACAGGTTCATACGCCATTTTTCGTCAAAATTCTGGAGCCCATGTACACCGTTCATTTGGAATCAGGGTTTTCCAACTCCCCCAGATGGATACTTCGTAACCAACAATGTGATTTGAGCGCCGGACGTTTATTTTCCATCCCCTTGAGTTTGTAAACAACACGGCCACCGCGAGACGTTATGTAGAGACTGACTAGTAAACAATGGATGGACTGTTGCGAAATCCTGGAAACTAGGGAGAACAATAATTTAACACTCAAACGACAAAATAAGAAAACTTACAAATGAAACACCTAGTATATCACTGACGTAATCAATAAAAATGATCAGTGTAGACAGAGAATATGGCACCTGAAAGTTGTCCATGACTAGGCTTTCTTTAATTATGAACTGCATGACATCAAGGAAGACCAAAGAACACATTACTTCGAGAAATGGAGATAGACATGAGAAAAATGAACAAGAAATGAATGGAACTAGAAAAGAAGGCCCAGGACAGAGTGGGTTGGAGAATACTGGTCGGCGGCCCATGCTCCATTAGGAGTAACAGGCGTAAGATAAGAGAAGATATAACATGCATAACATCAATCATAGAAAGACATAATTTTCATTATTTAACTAATATAAAACTTCCTAGTGGTTAAAAATCAGGTTTTTATTACTAAGAACCACCATAAACACTACAGGATACTAACCTGCATCTCCTCTAGTGTTTCTTGTAGTTCCAATTCTGACTGCATAAAACGCTTAGGTTGGTCAGGGAACTTAGTTCGAGCTTCCTGATTGCTTAAAGCACGTTTTTCAAGAAGTACAGTAAGTCGACGGACAGTAGTCTCAGTCACCTCATTTGCTCCAACAGTAGTAGGCCCATTGCTTGTTTCCGAATCCCATGAATCCGGTGCATTGAACGGACGTGAAAAGTCTGAAGTACAGAAATACAACAAGAAACCCTCATAAGGAAAACAGAATTTTGTAATCGAACATGGAATACAAGTAACTCGATAGATAAGTTCATTTGACTTTACTTCGCACTTCTTGCTATTGTTAATATATCAGTAAGAATCTGAATTAATACTGGTTGTTATGAATACACCTTGAGTGAGACTAATACCAAATCCGGACTGTAGGTTAACAACCGTTTTTTCTAAATTCAGTTTGTTTGATACGACCGCACTGTCTGTTCGACAGTACGCTAGAGAATTTTTTTACTGTATTGAAATTCCTTTGATGGAATAACACATTAAAGAAATTAAGAACAAACGACAACTGTGATTTTTTGTTACGGGTCAAATAATTGTCACCCGGGATTGAAATTCCTCATTAAGTAACCATCAGTGAAAATGAAATCACTTGATTGCATGAAGACCTTACTACATTATACGTAATGCGTCATTTTACGCTCCGTAGACATGCAGGACATTCAAATCACAAGTCAGGTGACGGAAAGTATAAATGCCGATGGCAAATTTTTCGTGTTACCATAATATGAGGTGAGTATAAAAGACGAACAGCAGCTTGCGCCCATTCTCATACATCATGGTGATGCCATATATATATATATATATATATATATATATATATATATATATATATATATATATGTCACTAATCGATGAAGCAGCAAGCCATACTTATTTAGCCAGAGAAACACAACTTAATAAAATGTTGTATCAATTTTAGGTTGCTAACAAGGAAACTACCTTCGAGATCACCAACATCAGATGAAGTGTCAGAAAATGCGGATACGTGATCAGTGCTGACCTTAGGTCGTTTTGCCTCTGCTTCAAGCTGAAGAGATGGTGGAGGAGGAGGTTTTAAAGACCGCTTCAACTGGGGGCTTGGTGACTGAATAAATATATAATGTTAGCAGTAAAGTCTACCGCAAACGACAAGACATCCCGAACGTCCATCCGTCTAGGTTAAATCATTAACCCTTTCAAGGTCCAAATTCAATACTCAATTTCCCAATGACGAGATAACATAACCAAATGATTTCTCTACACTCTCTTCTGGTTGTTGAGACACAGTATAAATGCGGCCATAAACTTCAGGCTTAAAAGTCTGTTGAATAAATGGTAGACTATTTGGTCTGTGCGATCTAACACTTTTGTAAACGAGATTACTTAAGCATAGAAGGGTATTACCTGTAATGGTAAATAAACCGCCAAATAAATAACTTTATTAGTTTTCGGAACCGATCCTGAACATACTATTTTTACTGAACACAGCTGTATTTAAAGGTTCCCGGTCAAGTAACTGCCATACATATACATATGCTTCTCTACTCGTCAGCCATTTTCCTTACATATTTTAGAAGCCTGCGTTTTCAAATTTTAGTTTGACGGGTCTCTTTATCCTCAACTAAGGTGTTATGGGCAACAGCGTTGCCGAGTACTGTACATTAGAGTCATCACCATACCCTTATTTCAATGCTTTAAAAGTCTGAGACAACATATATTGAGTGGGCTACAAATGATATAACACACAGTGACTATACCCCTCTTATCTTTCTGCGCAAAACAGCTACCACGTTTGTTGCCTCGAAGTTGACTGAATTGAGAGTTTTTCAGAATCCAAGGTCCTGTTTATTTCCTTCTTGAAGTAGAGAAACTTAATGAATTAGTTTTATCCTAAAAGAAGCTTTAATTATATTTTAACGACGGTATCGGGTAATTCGGAGGTCACTTTACCCAATATTCTGAAGCAAAACCTCAGAAAATGGTAGCCTTTAGAAAACTGGTCTGGTTGTATGACCGTTTGTCTTATTGTTATGGGAGGGCGATAGGACAATATAACAAAGTCTGTCTGGAAAGAGAGCATGTTAATAGTTCACCAAGATGAAGCAAGTCAAAAGCTCCATAAAAAAGTAACAAAATCTCCTTGATCCTAAGCTTGGTCTCAAACTTAATGCTACATACTGATTTTGTGATTCTTCTGAAGATGAGCTCGAAATCCTGTTGTAGTTTTGAAAAAGAAGGTAAAATTGTCTTGAATTATAGATGATTAGCTATCCTCACTTAATCGCGAGCTTCGTTGGGATTTTTCTGAAGAGCTTACCTATCATCTTGAATGTAAAACGTTTCTTAACAGCTTATGTTGCCACCAAATAACGAGTTTTGTTAAATTAACCTTCCAGCAGATAAGTGACACGACCACCCGTTCTTATACGACCGTAAAAGAACACACTGTATTGCTCGAGTTCTCATCAAAACAAGCCAATGTTTTCTGTTTATAAAACATTATAGTGTACAGCGATCTTGTCGGATAGAAACTCATATGGATTGATAAAGCCATGATGATTCTTAGTTTTCCAGGTGACTGATATAGATGATCACTTATTAGTACTGATCGGGCTAGTAAGCTACGATTAGAAGTCAACATTACAATACGATAATACATGTGAGCACTAATCAACATAGTAGCATAAAAATGAGTTAACATGATTAAAAATAAATCGATTAAGTTGAAGTTAACGTAAAAATTAATGACATGCTGAGTTTTTTTAGACGGTCTCACCAATGTAGAATTATGGTCTAATTTGATATTAAAACATTTGTCTTTGTTACTATAATGATAGACCTAATCCCAAAATTGTAGATTTGTCATGATATGATCACCTAATCTGTAAGGTCTTACATGTAAGTCACACCATTTTCTATACTTGCTCGTCCTATCCTGACCATCAGTAATATGTCTAGTGCTTCTTAAAAAGAACTTGAGCTGGGGATGTATTAATATATTTAATGTGAATAAGGATACGTCACAGAGAATGACAACGCCTACTAGGATGAACCACTCCATACCTATCAACTGTTCCCGTGTTCACCATTTTCGACCTTCCTAAGTGCTACATGTTGAGTGCGAATCGTCCCAGTAATTATGTTCTCGGCTTCAAAGATCGAGTGGTCAGGACCCAACACCACTACGAAATCTCCGAAGCTCGACTTTGTGAAAATCTTCGGAAATTATATCCCCATCTTGAGCATAAGTGACATGAAACTCATCTCAGTACGTCTTTAGCAAGGCACCCTAGAATTGTAATGTATCAGGTAATTTTTGTATAATTACTCCAGGCTAATTCAACTGATCAGCTGATAAAACATATTTTCTCGGAATCGAAAAATGCAATACGACGGTATCTTGGATGACCTACCCATAGCCGTTTAGTGAGCCTACGGCCAAATTCAGAAACAGAAAACCACACAACCAACATTCCAACGGTTACCGAAATCAGGACAAATGACCAGTAACACAGGTAATAACGACAATTATCAGCCATTTGTACACAATAAAGTCTACTCCGTAATAAGTGTAAGAAGAAAAGCACCATGAAAGTTCCCCCAAAGAGATCTGTTGGATAATATTTTAGCGTCTTTGTTCTCACCCTGCCATTTACTTTAACATGTTCTTCAATCTCTTTTCTCTATACCCTGGATATTTTCAGTTCCGCGCTGTTTTGGTTAGGTATTTTGGGAATCATGTTCCAGAAACCTAAAACTTTAAAGTTTGTTGTGAATATTATTATGATTATTACAAATATAAATATACTTGTTATTTCCGTTTGGTTTGTGAAGTGAAATTCGGTTTCATCGCTATTTAGGTCGTACGTTAAGCGTGCATCTCTACCCACATCGAGGACCCTGTCAAAGGAGCTGAAGTACTAAATGATTACCTTGTTTAGTTTCATTAAGTTTCTAGTCTTCGATACCAGTACACATATCTCTGGAATTCTGGTCATGGTGAGAACTGTACGAGCTGATCCATACATTATTGGTTGGAACGGTGTTAATGACAATGTTAGAAAAAAATATAGATACTGTTATTATCATTGATTTCTGAACACCTATTTATTGATCAATGTAATGACCAAAAGTTTAACATTTGATCCAAACGCAGGACTAACAAGCAAAAATTCATTTCACTTGGTACTGTTTGGCTTGAATCTTCCCATGGAGGTTTAAGACCGCAATTGATTAGTTTGTTATTGGGATGTGTGCAGGACTCGGTGGATGAGTGGATAACGCGGTAGCGTTTGAAGCGGACGGTACTAGTTTCGAGTCCCGGGGTGAACACCAACTCTGAGATGCAGGTACATCCAGCTGACGATCCCCAAATAGGACGAAACGCGCGTCCTGGATTCCACTGCTAGCCACTATCCATCATGGCTTACTAAATTCATTTGACTAGATCAAATCACGTTCGCCGACATAGCACACGAAGGGTTTTGTGTGACTGGCATTAAATTATATCAAAACGCAACTTCTGTTCTCAATTTAAACGGTCCTAATTTAAGAAAGAAAACATATCACTTCCAAAGTACTAAATGTCTTAAACGGTACAGCCTGTGATGTATAGGTAAAGGTTTCTCTAGCACAATATAACGTGATAAATAGTAAAAGTAACGATTTTTAAATCGGCCTTCGTTGTTGGAGAATTAATAAGAGTATTCCCAACAATATGGAATCAAGTATTTATCTTCGAGGATTCGATAGGGAGGTATCCTTTCCAGTCTATCGACACTTGTTCTTCCTCCAAAACTTTCATGATTAAAATATGGAGTATGTTTACAGTTGCCTCTCTATCTGACTTCAGTCCATCGTCTGGTGTATTTTCAGGTCCTTCCGCTTTCCCGCTCTTGATTTGTATGATGGCTATTCTGATTCCCTCTATTATTGGTGGATTGACGTCTTTAGGGATGTCTGTATGTGCTGCTTCAATATCCGGTGGATTCAATGGAGCTGGTCTATATAAAACTTCCTCGAAGTGTTCCATCTATCTGTTCTTCTGTCCTTGAATTTCAATAATTGGTTTACCTTGTTTGTCCATAACCGATCTCTCTGGTTTACCGTGTTTTCCTGTTAGTTTCTTCGTCGTGTCATATATCTGTCTCATATTTCCTTTTCTTGAGGCTTTTTCTGCTGTCTTTGTTGGATCTTTGCATATTTCTGCTTGTCAGTCCAAATGCTCTTCTGTACTTGCTTGTTTGCTTCTATGTATTCAGCTTGTACCTTGAGTTTCTCTTTTCTTGTTGGGTCGGAAATTGTTAATTGCTGCCTTCTTGTTCTTCCTATTTTGAATCTTCTCCAGGGTTTCGACAGAAATCCATCCCCGATGATGATGCTACTTGCGACCCAGAACCTCCTGACACATTGAAGTTAATGTTTCTTTGATCCCTGTCCAATTTTTCCCTATAGTAGTTTCTACTTCTTTCAGTAGTTCCTGTAAGGCTTAGAACCTGTTGCTGAGAGTTATCTTGAATTCGTTGAGTTCGTTAGTATGTTAAAGGAAGGCTGTATTGAACCATTGTGATGCTGTTTTCCTAGCTGTCCAGTACTTGTTTAGCTTGAGTTTCATCTTGGCAACCACAATCAAGCGGTGATCTGAAGTTATGTCAGCTCCCCATATGTTTATCACGTCTTCCATTTACTTTCTAAAATTTTATTGATGTAAAAATGATTGCTCTGACTCTCTGAAGTGTGATTCGATTAGACACATGTAGATTTTTGTATGTGTTTCAGTGGTAATATTGTGCCACCAATAACTAATCTGTTGAATGCGCATAAATTTGCAGATCTCTCGCCATTCTCATTTCTCTCTCTCAGTACATATCGTCCCATGATATTTTCATGCCAAGTGTTGTCCATCCCGACTTTGGCGTTGGGATCTTCCTTCAGGACGGCCAGGTCCTCTCCTGGGCACTTCGCTACGATTGATTGCAGTCTCTCGTAGGATTGATCTTTATCGTCATTACTGCTATCATTGGTGGGTGCATAAAATTGTAATTTCCTCCTTTGATGATCCTGGGTCTATGAGATTCCCATTCCATTAGTGGTTTACATGCTTCTTCGAATATCATCAGAGCAACTTCCCGAGTGTGGAGTATTTTCCTCTTTGTGATTAGAGTAGAACA